ACAAACAGAATCTGGAGAGAAGAGGGGAGAGATGAGAGATAGAAGGAAAATGGTATAACTAAATCCCTTGATTGAAGACACTAATAATGGATTGAGAGCCTTTTAAGGTGAATTGTATATATTTTGTAGCTAAAACATATTTAGGTCGGGTAAATATAAAAATTTGGATATTTTTCGTAATAAGGTTTCAGCTTTCAAATAGTGTATAGGAACGAAAAAATTGCTATAAAATATATATTGTGTTGCTATTATTTTGGGAGAGGCACGCTGAATGGGTCAATTCTTAGGCATGAAGTAAGTTCAGCATATATCGGCCCACTAACCTTTAGCTGACGCAAGCCCAGATGTAAGCCCATAAGGCCCAATCAATTCATTCACCTGCTACCAACTCCTACATAAAGAACGTAAACCCTAGGATTTTTTCATAATCGTATTTTTTCAAGCCGCAGACGATTCGCAGAGAATTAGCCATGGGGAGAAGTAAGCTTGTTTCTCCCAAATCCCTCTATTTTCACGCGTATTCTCGTATTCTTATTCATTTAGCTATTATTGTTTCGATTTGCCAAAAACTTGTTGGATCTGTATGTTTTTGTTCATAGCTTTTGTGTTATTTTTAGTATATATTACTGAAATGATATATTAGATGTGTTTTTGTTATTCATTTGATTATTTTTATTTTTATTTTGCCTTCTGTGCATTTGTCCGTAGTAAATGTAGAAAACCTATAGTGTTAGAGAACCCTAATTTTTCCCCAAGACAAATTATTATTGCTGAAATGATATATTAGAGGTGATTTTAGATGGTACTCGGTTGAGGCGTTCATTTGATTTACCATTATTTTGCTTTTTGTTCATTTATTCATAGTAAGTGCGGAGAACCCTAATTTATCCGTAAGATGAGTTATTATTGAGGGTTTCTGACTGATGCAGATGGAGCGGAATGGATAATGGGATTCATATAGCGGCTAGAGATAGTTGGGATCTAGTTGTAGCTGTGTATTGTTTGTCTGATAGAAACTGAACCCAACATTTTCAGCACAAATAATATATATNTTATTGGTAAGATTTTAAAGGTTATACCCATCAATTTTAAATTTTAGGTCTGCTTCGGGGTAGAAAGAATACCTAGTTGGTATAATTGAGTTGGCATTTTACATTTATCAAGCTTAAATGTTATAGGAGTTTTATGGCCATGCTACAGTTAGTGTCTTTGAGAGCAAATACTCCATATGGGTCCTAGAAATGATAAAATTGTTAAAGAACTTATAGTTCTTATTTTGCGGGAATTTTTTGATTAATCCTTGTAAACAATAAAGTTGGTGGTAAAAAATGTATCTAAGATCCATTAAGTTTTGTGTATGAAGCAGAACCTCTTAAGTATGACAAGCGCTGACCACTATTTTGTTATTATTTATGAGTGAAAGCGCATTCCTTAGTTTTGCTGACAAGGTATTCTACACTGCATTATTGTTATTTCTCTTTCCTTTTGGGGGATAAGCAGATGTTAAACTAATTTGGAGTTATGAGTGCATTGTTGGTATAGACTCCATATGTGGTATTAACTATTGTTTTATACAACAATTAGTTGACCCCATCCAGTTATTTGTAGCTGTGTGTCATTGACAACATATGTAACTGGGTTGAATTCTTTTCTCAGGACCTGCAAGATGTTATCGCCAGATTAAGAACAAGCCTTACCCAAAATCCCGGTTTTGCCGTGGTGTGCCAGATCCAAAGATCAGGATCTATGATGTGGGTATGAAGAAAAAGGGAGTTGATGAATTTCCTTTTTGTGTGCACTTGGTCAGTTGGGAGAAGGAGAATGTTTCAAGTGAGGCACTTGAAGCTGCTCGTATTGCGTGCAACAAGTACATGACCAAGTCTGCTGGAAAGGATGCTTTCCACCTCAGGGTTAGGGTCCATCCATTCCATGTTTTGAGAATTAACAAGATGTTGTCATGTGCTGGGGCTGATAGGCTCCAAACTGGTATGAGGGGAGCTTTTGGTAAGCCACAGGGAGTCTGTGCCCGTGTTGCTATTGGTCAGGTTCTTCTATCTGTTCGCTGCAAAGATGGTAATGCTAACCATGCGCAAGAGGCTCTGCGCCGTGCAAAGTTCAAGTTCCCTGGCCGTCAAAAGATCATTGTCAGCAGGAAGTGGTAAGACGTTTATCTAAAGTATCACTTCAATCTATGTCACTGCACATGTTTTTAGCACTTTATATGTTCACACACTAAAATTGATTGATTTATGAAGGATTGACATGTCTTGGAGCTATTCTTTTGTTGTGACAATTATACAATTTTAGGATCAACATGTACTAATCTTATATCACACATAACCTAATACTAGAGCGATCACACCCACTAACATTCAATTCCAGTAATTTTTTTGGCGCCCTGTACCCAAAGTTTTTTTTTAACATCGTTAATGGGAGATAAGGATCTGCTTCCTTCCAAAACTTATGAACTGCCTAGAAACCTAGCTTGCTGATTGCTCTATTCCTTTAACAATATACTTGAAACAGGATCTGCTATATAGGCTCGTACCCCTGCATCTTTGAGCGCTAATGTCAAAAAGTTTTGGCATATTATTTTTCTCTCTTAAAAAACTAGATTATTAATCTGGTTGGTTTTCCAAGGTGCTCCTCTGGATAGAAGTTGTGCTTGCATCACAGTTGTTTTCTTTTGATTGCAGGGGGTTCACTAAGTTCAGCCGTACTGATTATCTGAAATACAAGTCAGAGAATCGTATTGTTCCAGATGGTGTCAATGCCAAGGTATGTTTTGTTCATAGTCTATTGTTTACATAGTACAAGTTTGGATCTTGTTGCCCGAGGTGGTATGTGAAAACTTATTGCTTTTCTTATGCTTTTGCAGCTTCTTGGTTGCCATGGTCGACTTGCTGCACGTCAACCTGGAAGAGCTTTTTTGGAAGCAGTAGGGAATTGAAGTTGCAGAATTTACCAAACTGAACCTGTAGTTTTCTACTTCTGTTGAATGAAATTTTGTGTCCTGATCATCGATCTACTTTTGAACCATTACTTGAGTTGTTACTGCTTTGAACATTTTAGTTTACTGATAAAGATTGGCTTGCTTTTATTTGGTTGAGTTTTGTTTTACATATATTCTTTCCTCTGCTGTTGACTTTGTTTCTTATGGGAGCTGTCATGTTCCTCCTACATTATTTTTGATGAATTGATAAAGCAGCGTAAATCTCTTCTTAGTCCTGGGGAATCATTCCTTGGAAAGATTATCATTCCAAGGCTTGAATGTAAAAACAAAAAACCCAGTGTAAAGCCACAAATAGGGAATGGTTGAATATATGCAGCCTTGGCTTGACTTGTGTAGGTAGAGATATTGTTTCAGGTAGACTCTCGGCTCCAATCAAGCATGCAAATCACAACAGTGTAGAAAAGAAATGCAGTAGTGTAGAAATCAGGAAAACACAAAAGTGAGAAAAGGCTTGAATGTTACAGTGACGTGTCCAGTCAATGGTTTGTTTGATGAAGAAACGATAGTGGAACTCAAGTTGAAATTGCGAGTGTTAGTGCAAAGTGCAAACACCAGTTGTTTTCGGAAAATCAAGTCGATCCTACAATGAACAGTACTTGGGATTGTGTATGGTGAGTTGATAAATAAGAGTTGTAAGTTTACTAGCCAAATTGAGCCTGCACATTTTGCATAAACTTTCTCAACTCTTGTGAGATTATTACCTTTTCTCAATTATCATATCTAGTAAGGTTCCTAAGTGTTTTCCAGATTTTCAGGTAGGAAGAATATTAAGGGAATGACAATAATCATGAGTTTCTTGGAAAGCATCAGGTCTTTGCTATAAAAATGCAAGCGGAATTCAGTCATTTGAAAATGGCTCTCATTTCCAAAGAATAAGTGAGAAATAAAAGGTCAATCCTACAAATATGCAAACGCTATCCCAAAACCCGTCAATGAAGCTGTGTAGAAATCAAGCCGTAGTTACATAATAATCATAGACCATTTATTTATTATACATGAAGTTAAATGACACTGTTGACTAAAATTACTTCATCTACTTGATTGAACACGAAATTTGAGAAAGAAATGAATACTTTTGAAATTTGTGGTTCTAAACAGGCGTGGTTATAATTCTTTTAAAACTTATGGTCTTAAATATGCTATAGTATTTTTGTGATTATAAAAACTTGTCATTGAGGGTAAAATTGAAAGTTCAAGTTAAAATATTTTTAAATTTAGAAAAGAATCAGACTAAAAAGGAAATAGGTTCACGTAAACTGAATAGAGAGAAAATATGTTATATTTCAACCCTAAAAACATGTGCCAATTTATACCATAGATCCTAAAATTTATGTGATAATGAATCGAATACCCACGGTCGTATCCGAGCAACATAATCCCTAGTCCAAGATGGGAGTGAAAATGTAGAATGTGAGCCAATTGATCTAAACAGATGGTGAGGCAGTAGTAACACATTGTATAATCAGACAACTCCCATCTAGTTGAAGGCTTCAAACTAACAAACCGCCTACTATGATCCAAAGCAATCTTAAAAGGCTGCTAATGGTGGACAAGAATTGGGAGAAATTCTATCAATCATTTATTGGAGATGATCTGACACAAGACCATATAGACAGATTACTCACATAATAACACAATGAATATGCTCTTACAATCAGTGGCAGATGCAGGACTTCTGCTAAGGGGGTTCAAAAAAGGAATAAGTTAAAAAATTTAAAGAGATTGTAGCTAGTGGGAATGAAACCAATTACCTCAATGGTTTTGAACCCTTTTGACCACTAAGCCATGCTTTTGGGCTGTGTGAAGGGAATTCAAAACATAATATATAAAGGTAAAAATCAAATTTTTCCTTAATTTTTCGACGAAGGGGTTTCGGATGAACACCCTTGTGCCCTCCTAAATCCGCCCCTACTTACAATAGTAACAACATAAGTTGCGTCCGAGCACTATTAAGGATGAATCACTTAACCTTAACAAGCTAGTAAAATTTGTGCAAAAGAGCTGCAGTTGTATTTCTTTCATAAGCCTTACGAGGAGCTCTAGGAACTCTGAATAGTTGTTTGAACAACGAGCTACATTTACGTACCATTAGTGCCAATGTCAAGATTAGTTTTGAACATGTCTTGCACATTGTTTCAGTAAACTTGATATGCTTACCTCAACAAAGGCTAAATTTTTAACATGCCTACAAAATGATGCTTCTTTACTTTCTTCTAGTACTGCGTCTCGTGGCTGAAGCCACTACAGAAATCTCTTCTTTAGCTGCCGTTGGAACTTCTGATTGATTGCTACTTTTCTTTCTTTTCTTTGTCACACTCTTTGATGTTTCTTCAGCTTCATTCTCTCCTTTTTCTGCACCAGATTTATCCTCTCTACTTGAACAATCGGATGCCCGAACTATATACACCTGTGAATCTCAAAAATAAGAAAGTAATGCATTGAATTTGAACTATATTATATGACTATATTTATTTCATGGACAAAAGGACAAAAGGATTGCACACCAAAATCCAACCTTGAATTTTGTTGCCTCAACCAATTCAAATACTAGAGCATCCCCATCATCCAGCTTATGATCTAGCGCAAATGCTCTCCATCCTCCGCTTAGTCCAGTTCTTTTGCCAATAAAGAGAGCTTCATACTCTGAACCTTCCTCATCCACTAACAGAACATCTACGGTAGACTTGGGAAGATGATCTTCACAAAATCTTGTAGGAAGTCCCTGATATCATTTCATAGTAGGCTTAGTGAAAAGATAGAATGTCAGCTCATTTCACAAGCAATATATTTATCAAAAATAAGAATTTATTGAAAGGATAGATCATACGAGTCTAGCAAGATTTTATTATTATTTTTTTCCTTTTGTTATTAGGGATAATTACCTTACTGGGATGCCTTCCAAAATAATAGCTGGCAAATGTATATGCTCTGTATGTTAAATGAATATACATATAATATGCATATTGTTTACATAAATATACATAATCCATGTATATGATTTTTGTATATTTGAGCTACCATCCGTAATTAGTTTGGGCCCATAGGCCAAAAATGAAAAAAGCCCTTGTTATTTCCTCCATGTATCCTTGGCTTTTGTAACTAGCTAGAGTATGGAAAACTTACCAACCAGAAACAACTGTAGACGTGAGATCGGACCATAGACTTGATAAAAGATGGATTTCCAGACTGTAGATTGCTCTGGAGCTTTTCTGCACTTTTGATAGCTTGTGCTCTCTCTTGACATGAAGCAAGTTTTACTTCTTCCAACGGTCTTGCTAGATAACTGCCAACGCAAAAGCAATTATTCCATAACTGGGACGTAAAACAATGGTGTCCAGACTCAGAATTAACCATCTCACCTTGCCCATGAGGAACTCAATTTTGATCTTTTCCGAAAAGATGGAAGTTCCATATCAATCTGAGATGAGGATTGATTAGCAACAAATGAGAAAAATAAACAACTGATAACCAGAGCAAGAAAATTAGCAAACAAATGTTTGAGACGAAAATTTTTCACTAGCAACATAAGCAGTCCATTTCCTAGACTCTTAGCCCAAGATAGACCCCATATTAGAAACTTCAATCTCTACCTACAATGAACTACAATATGAGACATCAGCGCTTAAATATTTCATGTAATCTCAATAATAATAATAACCATAATCTTGATGCTCTTTCAATATGATTACATAGAAGAGGTGCACATGTAAACTATTATGTAGAAAATGACATGAGTATACCATTATGTAGATTCTTAACAATTACTATTATGTAATTCTGAAAGATGTGTCATTCACTATGTAGTATGTACCGTGTACTAAAAGGAAAACATGAAATCTTACATCATCGCGGTATGATGGAACAGGATTTCTAGCCCGTCCAGACCTTCTTGGCTCCAACATGTAAACATCGTTTGCTTTTTGTCTAACTCGGGTTACCTATGCATGATAAGAAAATAATATCAGCTAATGCATTCTTATATAAGAGCCACATTATATCTTTATAAAAAGGAAAATAATCATAACATATCACCTCATATTTCTTTTCGGACTTCTTCTCGGACTTTGCAAGATCAGAAAGGTTTTTAGATATATTCAAAATCCCCAGATCCTTCAAAGAGGAAAGCAACATAGTAAGAAAAAGAGAAGGCAATCATTACAAGTCCTACAAAAAGATGTAAACTCTGCAGCATATTTGTTGTTGGCAACAAAAGGTAGGTTTTATGAACACATACAACTTTTCCCCAAAAGATTGTTCATAAAAACTAATCCACATATACTACTTTCCACCAGAATTGTTTTCGAAAACTTGAACCAAATCAAATCCAAACACCGCCTAATATTTCATGAAGTTGATATTGGTAGATCATCCACATGTAAGCCTTCGATCACTTAATTTCTCCTTCAAAGAAGCATCCAAAAGTACCATCAACCGAAGTAAAAGATATTTTGCCTTAACAAGATTACTACCTCGAATCGTTTCTTATTGTCCAGAACCCTTTGCCTTCGGACCTCCTCGTAACTATTTGTGCCATTTTCATTTGCCATTGATTGTAATACTCAAAATACTTCCCTGATCAGAAAAAGAAAAGAGTATTTACTGTAATGCAATTTGGAGTTGAAAAGTGAAACAAACACCTCTAACTGTTTTTTCACCTGCAAATCATATTAAGTACAGGTCATTTGCTAATTGCATGAAGATAACCAACCAATCTTGGGAAGCAGAAATTACTGTCGCCAATTGGAAGATTAGTTACTGTACTGTTTACCAATACCAATACATTCAAACTTTTTTCAAGAATGTTATACATGGATAAGTTTTACCAGAGTGGTTGTCAGACCTACCATGTTGTACGGATCAGAGTGTTGGCCAGTCAAGAACTCTCATGTTCAGAAGATGAAAGTAGCAGAAATGAGGATGTTGAGATGGATGTGCAGTCCTACTAGGATTGATAAGATTAGAAATAAAGATATTCAGGACAGGGTAGGAGTAGCCTCGGTGGAGGACAAAATGCGAGAAGCAAGACTTAGGTGGTTTGGGCAAGTGAAGAGGAGAAACACAGATGCTCCAGTGAGGAGGTGTGAGAGGTTGGCCTCGGGTGGTCTGAAGAGAGGTAGAGTTAGGCCAAAGAAGTATTGGGGAGAGGTAATTAGTCAGGACTTGGCGTTGCTCCAGCTCACTGAGGACATGACCTTTGATAGGAAGGTGTGGAGGTCGAGGATTAGGGTAGAAGGTTAGTAGGTAGTCGAGTGTGTGTCTTCCCCATACCGGTAGCACTAGTAGTCAGCCTTGTATTCGGTATTGACAGTCTTGATTACTACATGATTTCTTATTATATTGCTATTGATACTGCTTGTTCTCTTATTATCTTGTTATTGTTACTGCTTTTTTTTTTTCCTTGACCCGGGGATTTATCGGAAGCAGCCTCTCTATCCTCAAGGTAGGAGTAAGGTCTACATACACACCACCCTCCCCATACCCCACTCGTGGGATTATGCTTAGTTTGTTGTTGTTGTTATACATGGATAACACCCTTAAACTAGTGGCTTTGCAGTGCAGTACTATTTAAATTCCCAACAATTGACCAATCCAGCGTTAACGTCGCAGAAACTCTAAGATCCATTGGAGCTTTAAGCGCAAAGAGCAAATAAAGTGAGGGCTTTAATGAAGAAAGGTGCAAATTGAGAAGAACTACAAATACATATATGTAGTCCAAGACTAATAATTATAAGCATGAATAACAAATATATGGATAAAGAATTTTTTTTAGAAAATTACAATAAAGTGAAACATCAACTGTTTAGTGTCGCCTCTTCTGGATTATGCCCGTTGGCAAGGAGAAGAATGCCTTAGAGCCTTGATGACAAATGCCCGCTAAGCAAGGTGGAGTGCTCAACGTGTTTTGCACCTTGATTCTAGGCTTAAGCGCACTTTAAGCGCGCCTTTGACCACAGTGGACCAATCAGGAGCTCTAATTTAACATAAAATCTAAATGCCTCCAGAAGTGACCAAAAAGAAGCGTTTAGCAACAACTACAACTATTAGAATAACTAAGCCTCAATGGTGTCGGCTATATGAATCCTTTATATTCATTCCGCTCCATTTGGACATGTTTCATTCCAGTTATTCAAAATTTGTCTTTCAAGACGAATAGTGGTCTCCTAACACTAAAGTTCTCTATGTTATAACAGAAAGCAAAAACTCTTGAATCATACCATCCCAAAAGAAATGTTGAGATGACTTTTTTATCAGCAAATGGCCAAAATAAAAAAAGAGAAAAATTCGTATAATCCTGCTTACCTTTAGTAAATGCTAGTACAAAAAAGCACCAAACAGAACTATAGTTAATTCCTCTCTAGTCCACTCTTCTACTCCACACAAAGAAATCAATGAATCATTCAATTATGCCGCAATTCCAAACTAATTGAAAATTAAATTCATCATAATTGACTACTTTTATATTTGTTATCAACCTTCATAATTGACTATGCTTTTGGAAGCTCACATACACTGAGTTCAACCTCACATAAAGAATCCTTTTTCCTTTTTTTTTTTAATTTTAAAAAGAAAGAATCTTTTGGGTGAAAATCAAAAGATTGAGAAGCTGAAATACGAAAATAGCAATTAGCAAATCACTACACAAAAAACCTTGTTTCGAGCAGCACTAGTAGTGGATGCAACCCACTATCTGGAACTCGGATTATATACATAAGCTTAAAAAAAATAAATTAAAATTTTAATTTGTTCATATACATTAAGAGGGTTCACTACTTTTAAATCCTGTATTCACTTCCTTAAGATGTACAATGGCATACGTAAAAATGTCATCTTTTTAGCCACAAAAAAAAAAAAAAAACACCCTCAGAAATGAATTCACAACAACGAATACTGTTGCACATATATATAGATTTCCTATGCCTATTACTACATAACAAGACAAATGTATAAAAATGGGTAAAAAAAAAAAAAACCATAGAGTATAAAATCGTCAACCCCAAAATTAAAAATATTTTTGAGAGCAGGAATAATCAAACCTGAGGCGAAAATGCAGCGGTGTTGAAGGGGCCGAATGTGGAGAAACACAGAGAAGAGAGCGCCTTTTTGAAATTTGAAAACAGTGAGTACATGTGCCTTACGGCTTTGAGTTTCGTGCATACACTAAGCTAAAAAAAGGATTACTTATTAACCTTAGTTAAGTGATACACTAAGCTAAAAAAGGACATTTATTAACCCAAGGACTCGTTTGGTTACAAGAATAGGGATAGTAATCTTGAGATTATTTATTTCACAGTTGTCTTGTTGTTCTTAAACCACGGTTAATAATGTGTTGAGAGGCGTATTTTAAGAGTATGGGTGCACCATACTATCGTTTGGTTTGACTGCATCAAAATTTTGCCATGATAACAACTTATCAAGCAAATCGTGATTAATACTATTATCACAAGAAAACATCAGTTCACGATTATTCTTAACAAAATTTTCATACTTTAAAAGTGATTAGAGGGTGATAAAAAATGGTTAGAGGGTGATCGATGTTCGTAAAAATGTTGGGACAAATGAGGAGTTGCAAGTTTTGATTTTTTTTAGAAACCGAAAAAGAGAAGACAAAATATAAAAGAGAAACAAAAAGGGGATAAACTTATCATGACAGGGGATTCGAACCCTTAACCCGGATAATCAAAAGGGCACACGGCCACCAATGGATCAAAGTGGTGTGTTGTGCACGGGTTCACCAGATGTATTTAATTATTTTACCATAATAATTACAGTGCTATACATAATTTAGGGACGGGAGTATGGGTTCACGTGAACCCATACCCCTCCATATAAATATTCCCCTGAATGTGGGATAACAACCCGATATTATTAATCTTTTTTGAGAAAATGATCAAAATGGTCCTTGATGTATACAGGCTGGACTATTTGGTCCTTGATATATACCCCTTAAATGTAAGAGTTAATACCCTAAAACATGCTTAAACTATACAAGCTTTGTCAGTTGCCTACCTAAACTATCACATGTCACCGAAAAACCCCTGAACTATATCCCTCTTCATAATAAAAACCCCTCGTCGCATTCTTACTAGTGCGTGTAATACACTCTCCAAATTATTTTAAAATCTGCCACGTGACAATCTACATGAATATTTGTTTATGTTAATCTAAAAACAGACTTAATTAAGATTTTAATACTCTTTATTATATCATTATAAAAAATTACATGGTAAAAATAAAAAGGGGGCTAGGGTTAAAACTAGTGGGTCAATTGTAAAAAACTCATTTTCTCTTTGCTCTTATCGGAGAATGGCTACACTAATCTCTCAGTAGTAATTTTCTCCATTAATCTTCGTTCTAACCTTGATTGCTTTGTCTATTCTTGCTTCCCTTCAAAAATTGGGATAAAAACTAAGATTTCTACTCCTAAATCGGTATAGAAGATTAGGGTTTTGATAGACCTAAATTCTGAAGATTGTTGAAAGGAGATACCTAAATTGGTAAAGAAGATAGCTACACACATGTCCTATTTCTTTATTTCCTAATTTCTTGGAAGGCATTAAACCTCATGCTTTACAAATACTTGAAAGGATGTTCCTTCTTTCAAATAAATTTATGTGAAAACTGAAGGATGGATAAAACGAGAAAGATAAGAAATAAAATAAGAAATAATGAGAGAGAGAATTTCGTATTGATTCAAATGAAGAAATGGAGAAGAAAGACAAAAAAAATGGAGAAGAAAGATTTAAAAAAATGAGGAAGGAAGGTGAAATATAAAGAAAAAGTGGAGAAAATAAAAGGAAATATAAATTTTAAAAAAGAAGGACTAATTAGCTGTTAGACACGCCATTTTAATGGCTTTTTTAAAGTCTTCACGCGCTCTTGGGTAATTTTTTATACATATTTTATCACATAAGCGACGATGGAGTTTTATTATGAAGAGGGATATAGTTCAGGGAGTTTTTGGGGATAGGCGATAGTTTAGGTAGGCAACTGACAAAAGTTATATAATTTAAGCGGGTTTTAGGGTATTAACTCTAAATGTAATAGTCTTCAATGTATGTAAAAGGTGGATCATTTTGATCTCATACCTAGGGCTATCTAGGGTCAGGGGAGTATCGAAACCGGTATCGGTACCGCTCTGTACCAGTCTGCTTTGGGGGTAGAGGTAAGGGATTTGGTTAAAGGGAACGGGGTATGGTACCGAACCGATATCCTTAACGTTTTCTTTAAAGGTAATTGTTTTTGTACCGTTAGCCAGCAGTTCTTTTTTACAAAATAGCTGTTGGCAAAGGTCAAAAATGTCTATTTTTGCCTTCCAAGACCCCTAACACCCCCTACCCCCTAATTTATATTTTTAACCTTTAAGTTTGTTCAAATACACTTTGACCCTATTTTAAAACCATAAATACTCCATTTCATTCTTTCAATTTTCACAGAAAACTCTTTTATCTCTCTTATTCTCTATCTCTCTCTATCTTTAACTGCAATTAATATTCTAGCACTATTATTAAGTTTCACATTTATTTTTATTATACTTGTGTTGCTATTTGTTGTTATTTTAATTATTTATTATTAAAAATAGCTCTTAAACTGGTAAAAAAAGTGTGTAATAGATTGACTAAGGGTAATGCTAAAAAGGGGGTCCTCGACTCCTCATTATGAAACAAATCCTAACCAGTCCCGGTTTAGGCGTTACATACAAGAAACATATAATCATGTTTTCAATATTTTCCTAGAACAACTGTTAGAAATAATATTTGCAATGATGAAGGAAATGAAGACTTGTTGAAATATTGGAAGAGAAGAAACTTTGGCTTTTCAGAAATAATTTAAGAAAACGACGATACCTATAGTGAAATATTATCTACCAGAGACAGCAGGGACGCAGAAGAACATGTGCTATCAATTTCAAGCAAAGAACTAATAAAAGTTATTAAAAATTTTCGTAAATCGTTAAAAAAAATAAGTAATTTTATTTTTATAAGTATTGAAATAAAAGTATTGAATTTTTTTCATCCATTAAAGTTTGTTTGAATTTAAATATAATATTTTTTTAAAATTTGAATTTAAAAATACCCCTAAGTACCCTTATCGCGTCCTTAAATACTCCCCTAGGACCGGTAGGGGTACCCAGTACGGTACCTCTAAAAGTACCCTTACTCTTTACCCTTAAATCCCTTTAATCACAGTCCCGTTAAGGAACCCTCCCTCACTGGTAGCGCCCCTATACCCTGTCCCTTTAAGAATCCAATACCCTCCCCTTAGAGGGCCCTACTTATACCCTAAAACTAATGGTGTAAAGTTAAAATATTGTTCAACTTAATGGTGCAAAGTTAGAATCAAGTAACCTCCCCTTTGACAACATTGCTTCTAGCTTTGATCCACAAACTCCATTCTTCTTCTTTCTTCACTTACGTTACTGCCACTCCTCCCTTTACTTTCTTGATTTTCTTATCCTCCTCTTCCTCTAGAACAACCTCCTTGTGATTTTCACAAACACAGACAAATACCAAGAATCAAGTGGATAAGATAAATTTTTGTATGTATGAATATAAAACTAATTGGGTGAAAAGAAGTCCACATTCAAAAAAATAAAGAAAAAAACCCATGGTTTTAGATGCAATTTGTCTTTTGAGCTGTTACTATTTAATAATTTTGAAGAAGTGAATAAACTCTATTTTATAGAATCAATAGTATTTGCAGAATTTTTCGAGTCATCGAATAGGAGCAAAAAATGCTCAACATGGGAGCAAAAAATAGGGAATGAGGAACCTTCAGTTCCAAAAAAAGAAAAGAAAAAAGAGGACAAAAAAGGATGTTGATTTTTATCCAAAATCAGCTATGAGATTTTTTCAGGCGGGACTTGGATTAGTAAGACCGATAACAAAATGAGGCACTAACACCGGTAATTTTTAATCCATGGAAATTGAACTTTCTCGGAGAAAAAATAGAGTATAAAAGCCTCAACCTATGGTAGTCGAACCTGGGTACTCTTCTAATGTGAAATGCATTAGGTTTAATAGATATATGATGACTGAGGAGGAACCATTAGTTTTAAGGTACAGGATCAAAATGATCCACTTTTTACGTACATTAAGGACTATTTCAATTAAGGGGTGTATAGCAAGGACCAAAACAGATTAACCCATATACATTAAGGACCATTTTAATCATTTTCTCAAATTTTTCTGTTACATCCCACATTTTCACACGTTTAAGTATGTTGTAATTTAGTCGCCATAAGCTCGGAGATCAAGACTATTCTCAAGTTTGAGTGTATAAAACCATGCATAGCACATGTTGTAAGGTTTAGAAGTTAAACGAATTGAAGAAAATAAGTTTCGTCGAAAGTCGGCAAGTTGGGAATGTTATAATCCGTACTTTTGGGGGAGACTAGGGTGCTTAACATGATAAAAACGTGATGTTATGAGGTATTTCAGTCGTATGATAGTCCTGTGTTAAGTTTTGAAGTCTAGCGAGTTACGAAGCAAAAGTCGATAAAAGGTAGCAAGTTACGTTTACAATTTTACTGAAATTTTTGGCCTAATGTTACTGAGATTTTATCTCAATGTAATTGTATTTACGGGATCCACCCACAAAATTAAAGATCTACAAGTTTAGTTTCCAACGTATTAAATCGTTTGTCGATACAATATCTGAGTAGAGAGATATTCGCATTTTTACGAGACTGCACAGGCAGCCCCTATAGGACCCACCTAGGCGGTGAAAACTTATCCTTTTATTACAAAAACGGGGGAAGCCCTTATCTCTCTCATTTTTTTTGATGAGAGCACACCCCATATCTCTCCGAAGGCTCTTTAATAGCTCTCAAAAGTTTAAGCGTGATTTCTAAGATAAATCACATATATCTAACATCAAGAATCTCGTAACGATAGCGAAAAGCGCTTCTATGATGTTGTGGTGAGATTAAAGGTCGGTGTGAGCTAAGAGGAGCTTGGATTTCGAGTTGTAGTTCCTGTATAAGTAAGAACAAGGGAGTTACTGCTCGATTTTCTATAAGTTATACGACTAGCCAAATACGATGGTTATGACATTATATGTTGACAATATTATTTCACTTGTTATAGACGCAAGAAGTTGTGTTAAGCTTGGTTGAGGAATAAGGAAGAGATCCTACTGGTATGT